CACCCCCGAAAACTCTATAACCACCGTTTTTGCAGGACAACATTCTGGGACTAGGTGTATATGAGTGGGCCTACATAAGCTTCTTTTGCCGTCAAAATAACATCGCAAGGGCAAACCCTCGAGACACGAAGAACATTGGAGATGCGGTTTTCTATGGAAAAACATGCAGCAGGAACTTATGCGTAGAAGAAATGGGTGCAGGAATTGTAGTTTGGGGAACATGTGCAAAGCTGCAAATTATCATCGAGGATCATTGGTCCATGTGAAAACCATGCAGGAAAAGACAAACTAGTAAGTCCCTGAAGTAATTGTAAAACGCAGCGATAAAAGAAAAAAGTCGGGAAACCGAAAAAGGTGACGGGAGAATCAATCTCAATAATCACTCTCCTAAGGTAGCATGCAAGAAAAAAACAGCAATGTGCTGCGCACTGGTTTACTGAACAAATCAAAACAAGTCTACGACTTTATTTATGCCAAAAAATGGGTCATATGTTTATCCTAAGACTAGAAGTGAGGTTAAGCCTGGGCGGCGTAATTGACATTCCTCTACCTATGACAGCACTTCTGACAAACCCCGCTCCTGGTCGTAAAAGGTCGAGTTAAATTACAGGTTTATTCCTCAGCAAATTTTGAGACAGCTAGCTCATCAACTAGGCAGGGGACAGATTGAGAAAGTTGATTCTTTTAAGGGCAAAGCTAGTATTTTGGCCATTTAGAACATTTTATGCACGTATGGAACGTAAACATCGTGTAGTTTTAAAACCTTATAGCTTAAGATTAGTCACGAATTCGAAAACCTTTTTAAAATCAACGTATACCCGTCTGTGAGCACAAAAGTTAAAAAACACCATTTTTACTACAGGTGGGTATCGAAAACTAACGAAAAAATGCATAAAGATTAAACAGTAATTTGTTTACTGAGTGCGGTTTCGCTGGTGTCCGCACAGAAGTGCAACTCAAAGGAGTGATTAGGATGCACGATGGATGCGTCAGGCGAATAAACGTATTGTCCCAGCGATCGAGTCGTCTTCTTCTCAATTACTTCCTGGGACTCGCATGATCGCTTGTATTGGCAAACCTACCTACTGTTAAAACGTAGTTAAGTAGTTCGGTTAAACTTAATAAAATAAGTAGGTCATGATCTACTGCCACAACGGCGTGGCCCATCACCAAATACAAAATTCTCCAACATAGAAGCGACGGCTGTCGAATGAAATAAAATTAGCAGATTCCGCGCCGCTACGCTAATACCCATCCGATTTTGTGACAGATTCGAACAGATTCAAGTAGGGACCTTTTCTCAGGCAGCATGAGCAATCATTGAAAAAGCAAATGTGCAAAGGCATATTTAGAGGCAAGAACCACAAGACGGAAGAGTCAGTAAGGACTGATAATGAAAGGTTTCCGTCAGACATTGCTGATCAACATACTTTCAACCGGACTAGTCGGCCAAATAATTCCTGCTTAACTGAATCATTTTACCAAAACACGAAAACATTTTAGGCGTAGTTTCAAGAGTGTCTATTATTGACGGTCCAGCCGATTAGTGAGAGTCCTTAACTGCACTTGTGAGCTTTAGAATAAAAGGCGCGTTTCATTGGGTTTCCTAAAGAATCCCTGGCTTCGCGATCATATTATTAGTCCCAGTTTTAACTACGAGCCGAGGCGCCCTCAAACGGCACAGTAGATGACAGGCTGACATTGTTCAGTTCTGAAAGCGAAACAATGGGCCATTTTATGACACGTTAAGAATACAGCATGGCCCTCTGGCATTACCGGCGGCCTAAGTGCGTACTAGGTTTCCGGTAGTTCTATTTTAAAGCTCCGTTGGAGCATTAGTCAAACGGTATAAGTACGTGAAATTTTGACCTTTTTAAAAATGGGTGGTATTTTTACTATTGGTCAATAGTCTCGGTTAAACATTGAGGGCAAACGTTATGATGCCCGATGTAGGCCAGTACGACAATGGAGTGCTTTTCAGAATGTACCTAAGTTTGTATCTATTCTTATTCGCGATTAACTTTTCAGCAGTGGCTACGGAGGAAGAGTGTAAACGCAGTCAAACGGAAGTCCCTGGCGGAAGAAGGGGTCAAAGGACGTTCAACGTCTATATGAACGGTGAGCCATAAATCCGATTATCGAGTAAAAATGGATGATCTAATGTAGTTCGAGCGCTACAATTGCCCATCACGGCTGGGGTCACCGAGAAAATTAAAACACTTTTACATTCAAAAGACAGCCAAGAGTTGTGAAACATTAACAAAGTGGAGTGGAAACCTGTTAGTACTACAAAAGTGAGCGCGCTTTTTGTGGTATGAAGAATGAGCACAAAATACTTTACAAAGGGGGGGGGCAGATTTACACCCTGCAATTTAGAAGCAAAAGCAATATTGACCAAATGAACATATCTCCTTGTAACTCGAAGTCTATAACTTGCAACAGCAAAGATTAGGCTATAAAAAATTATTTGGCAGCAAAAAAATGCAAATTGTGTCCAAAAAGTCAATAAAGGTAGAGCATGTGGGCCATAGTTGCATGAGAATGTCGCAAAGGGAAAGAGATGTTCTATACAAAAAGCAATATGGTCCCAAGAATGGACATCTTTTAATGAGGAAAACATAACTTTCTCACTAAAAGAGTTCCCAGAGAGAGAGCGAGAAAAAGAGTGAGAGTCTACGGCCAACGATTCTTACCTGGACGGTGTAAATCATTGTCGTAACAAACACTTCGTGTCCGAAGGTGCGTGCAACCGCACGTGCGAGACTGGGCCTCGATTTGGTCTGTTCGACTTTCCATTGCCTACGAAAACGAGTAAAGAGCTCAAAATTAAAGCGGGGTCTTACTTGCTTACCCTCCCCAATCATAGAACTATCTGCAAATAGTTGATTACAAACACAATTATTTCAGAGTTGTCGTGGATTGAAAAGGATAATGACGTTAGGAGTTCAGGTAAAAAGACGAAAATGATGTCACCCACAACCCAAAATGTCTTCAATTTGGTGAAATATACGTCTCCATTCTTGCTTTCACCTTAACTTTCTGAATGAAATAGATTAGTATGAGGATTTCGGCGCAACAGCATAGAGTTTAAGGGCCCTAAATGTATGAAGAACTAAAATCTACTGAATTTGGCACAAACAAGCAGGAAAAGGGCCTGATGAAGCCTCTTTTGGGATGCTGAAAACAGAAGGACGACCGCAGTGCAAACTGTTTTCGACGATATCAGTCCACAACGCTGGCTGCAGTCAAAGCAGGCACTTTCATTGGCTTACAAGCCTACCAGTTTCAGTTTAACTTTATATGGTTCGATCGTTGCAAACAACGATGTCCGCCGCGCTCCCACAGGGGTGATAAAGTGTTAACTTACAGGTGTTATTAGGGTGTTTGGCAGATTTGCTTAATTCTAGTTGATCCAATTGTGAAAATAATCGATCCAACTGTGATTAAACTCTCGATGGGAAGCGCGGCATTTGTAACTTAATGGTAGAGCATTGGCTTCCGGTTAAGGCCTTCCCTCCTATGCGGGTTAAAAATCCCGCCAAATGCCGCGAGTTTTTTTACAATTGGGTCGACTAGAACTTACATGTGAGTTTTTTACCGTAAGGTTGTCATGTTCCGCATCCGCCATATCCGTTCTTTCTACCTTCTATGTTAAAATGACCTGATATGGTCAGGCATGGTGACCCGCAACAGCCGACAGAAACAAATATCCGAGTTCCAGGAAGCAGTCCAGAAGCAGAAGATGCGATCGCTGGAACAATAAATTTATTTGTCTGACGTTTCGAGTTCTGTCGAGAACCCATCCTCAGAGGTAACCGTAGAATAGTGATATACAAGCACAGATTAGGCTGATATATTCATCAAATACGACCTCCAGCAG